CCCCAAAACCCCAAAACCCCAAAACCCCAAAACCCCAAAACCCCTAGTAAGTCACTCGTATTGTATAATAATAATAACCAATGTCAATAATGAAGAAGGGTAAGCTAGGCTATTACTTCAGAGATCAGCTCTTGTCAGTAACCTACCATAGCCTCTTTGAAGAGACTGAGTGTAGATGAGAAGAGGAATGCATACTTTTCTTTAAAGGGCATTCCAAGCTCGACACTCAAAAATAGTGCTTCAGTTTAGTTTAGGTCTTGATTTCTGATGGAGCTGCATCAGCTCTTTATTAGTAGGTATACTTCTTCTCATCAAAATCGCATTTTGAAATATTTGATGATTAAAAGGAATTTGAACACAATTTGAAGATTTCAGATTATTCGAAGTTGTATGAGATTTTTTGCCGTAAAATCGCCATTCTGGATTTTTCTAATTGTGGTTATAGTCGTGGTTGTAGGAGATACCTCTGTAGGGAAGACTTCACTAGTAGGAAAGTATGTAGATGGATGTTTTGCGGGAGAACATTTCGCAACTGTTGGAGTTGATTTTCGATGAAAATAACAAATCTCTGAGTATCTGGGACACTGGAGGCCAGGAGAGATTCAAATCAATCACCAAAAGTTACTTTAAAGGAGCCCATGCTGTAATCCTAGTATATGCTTGAGATTGTGAAGAGTCCTTCCTAAATCTGATCAACTGGCTTGTTACTATTGAATCTTCAGTTGATGAGGATGTAGTTAAAGTACTCATTGCGAATAAGTCTGACATTGAAGATATTTCTGTCAGTCACAAAAAAGGAAGAATATTCGCTGAAGAAAACGATATGCTTTTCTACACATGCTCCTCAGTCACTGGTGAGAACATAGATGAGGTTTTTGATAGGGTAAGTAGTAACTCACCAGGTTTAGATCATTGATGAATTAAGAGAAATAGACACTACAGATGCAATAACTCATCACAAGGATAGCTTCCTTCTTGAATCATGCTCGGAAACAACTCGTCCTAAAAAGAAGAAAAGGAGGTGAGCACTCTTCGGAGGCTTCGGTAGCAAAAAGAAGACTCGAAAGAAAGATGGTTTGATTAACTAATCACGTTTAAATAAATTCAATTTTGAGTCAAGTTATTGGGGTTTTGGGGTTTTGGGGTTTTGGGG